AGTCAGTCGTAGGATATCCTACTGGTCTAAAGTGAGCTTGGAGTAAAAAAAAATGTCCACTCAAACTAATAAACTTCACAGTGAATATATTTAGATGTTTAATTTTTGTTGTTTAGTGATTTATGTTCTGATATTATTAAACCAGTAAAATGTAGGTTTATAAGATCTCCTCCTTTATGTGGGATCCACACAGTGCTACAGTATATGTGCTGGTCAGGGATGGAGATATCTCACATTTTTCCTGTTCAGCAGCCAGTGTTACAGGACATACAGTGTAACAGCTACAAATGATCAGATCATTTAACCAAACCTGAGTATGTTTGATCTGTGGGAGGAAACTGGAGTCAGTGGTGGACACCACATATTGTATATATGATGTTTGTGTGTGTTCCTGTCAGGAAAGCCAGGAAAGACGAAGGACGGCGTGAACACACATCAGCTCCCTCCCTATGACCCTCAGACACCTGTTGGTAAGACAGAAACTAACAACATGTCCCTCTGATCTGGACATTATGCTTTGGATCTGTTGAATGGATTCTCATAGGACTTTAGGAACTGTTGGTCCATCATACAGTAGGAATGAGTTATATTCTATTAGTCTTTGCATTGTAGATACTATTGTGTATGGGTTTGATCTATTCAAATAAAATTAGCATCATGCAGTATCAACACAACTGTTGAACTGGAAAAAAAAGTTTTTGTTAATATAAACTCACTTTGAAAACTGACCACTTCTGCTTAGAATTTCAAAATGTTCTAAAATATTTCTGACAACGTCTTGAATTCAAGGCTGATCAGTGTAAAACCTTTAATGTGAAACAAAGAAGGAAACCTGATCAATTTGTGCAGGAGGCTTTATTTGACAAAAAGAGGTGGTTACATTCAGGCCAGTTTTATATGTTAACAAACAAAATGTGTCAAATAATCAAATTCAGGTAATGTACATATCAGCAACAACTTTATTTCAAGTTAATTACTCTTTCATAAGTAACTAATTAATCTTAGTAATGTCCTCCACTGAGGGAGTTTATATAATAAAAACCCTGAACTGAATAAAACCTAATTAAAGRCACGTTTAGGAGTAAATTCAGACTCAAAGAATAGCTAAGTGGGCGTGGCCTATCAGCAAAAATCAGATTTCCTTTTAGTTAAAATAATGATAATGTGCTATGTATTGTTATCAATGCATATTTCCATGCAGTGATGAAATTTGTGCTCTGCATTTGACCCAACATGTGAGAYACACCCAAATGGARCAGCATAGACTCTAGGTGTCTTGCTCAATGACACCACGACATGKARGCWTAGTGGGAGTCAAACCTGCGACTTACTGGAYGCAAGACAACTGTCCAACCACTGCRCCATAGCCATCCCTATGTAAATAATAATAAATCAGACATTTGTTCCACTGAACTATAGTTTTCWGGATGTGTTCCTTAAATTACGCAGAACATTCTGTACAAAGAAACAGTCTGCTTTAAGTTTGTAACTTTAGTTTTATCAGAAGTTTTACTAAAGTGATGAATATTTCTGTTCCTACAATCGTTACATAAATCACCATATAAATCAGAAGGCCTGTTTTAGACCATTTCTGTTAAGGCTCAAGATTTCCTTTGGATTAGCTGCATTTTAAAAGTTTTTTTGTCAGTGTTGTAAAGCATGGACAGTACATTCACACAGTCCAAGTGCCCGCTGATCTTAGTGTCAATGTGTCCACAGGTTTGGAGTATTTGGTTCCAAAGACGGGTTTCTTCTGTAAGGCATGCAGTCGATTCTTCAGTGGAACAAAGTTGGCCGAGATCACCCACTGCAAAACCCTCAAACACTACGAGAACCTGAAAGTAAGCAGCACAAACACCCCTCTAATTATGAAGATCGTCAGAGTTAACCAGACTTATTCCATCCAAACAGGAACACCTGAGATCAGTCACCACATCATGATGGGGGAATGTCACTGACAGACACATCTGCACACTTTGATTTCTGCTTTATCTGAAGAATTTAAAAAACAATCAGTACAGACACATGATCCTCCACTTCCCACAACAAGCTGTACCATGCCTGGCAGCATAAGTCCCATCAGGACAACAGGGGTCTCCGTTCCCCAGTCTCCACGAGGAGAAAATTTGATCAGTAGCCTTGAGAGACCAGCTGACCAGATCCATAATTTTTAATTTTGGAAGATACGCAAGAGAGGCTCCTTAAAAGCAGCAAGCAGGATAAATAAGGGAAGGTTGAGGAGAGAGGGAGAAATGTGTTCACCTTCACCGAGAGCAGAAGAGAAAAGGTTGTATATTGTTSGTATTTATTGGTCGTATAATAAGACTCAGGTTATAATCAGGGTTGTATGTAAAATATTTTCTCTAATTCTCAGGGGAGAACCTGGGCTTGTTGCTTGGTGCTCATATTTTCCTTCACTCATTGAACACATTTATCTAGAGGGGTGTCAGGGCATCTAACGTCCCCCTGTTCTGTTTTATGACTCCTTCAGCTGCAACGTCTCAGGACATCATGTTGATCCTTAGTCCACTGAGAGTTTGTGGCTGACCCATGGACGTATGTCATATAAACATCGCAAACTGACCATTTCCTGGTTAAATGTCTGTTAGACCACACATGTCCCTCAGATGGACAGCTCCTGTTTGGTCTTCTGGATCTTCAGCCTTGGTTAAACCAGCTGTCCACTCTCCAGTCCAAGCAGCAAATATCTGTCTTTTTCACAGCGCAAAATAACTTCAAAAATACAAATGCTTTATTTGTTAGACTGATTTCTTTTTAAA